GGAAATTTTAATTATTTACAGTGAAATTTTTTCTTATTTTTCAGAAAAAAAATAATAATAACAACAATTGATATAATAAAAGAAAATAATTGTTGGTTTTTTTTTTTAATTTTGAATCAATTTTAAATTTTATTTTTTCTGAAAAAAATAATAACAACAATTGATATAGTAAAAGAAAATAATTGTTGGTTTTTTTTTTTTAATTTTGAATCAATTTTAAATTTTAATTTTGGCAACTGTTATTATTTTTAAAGTAAAATCATAAAATAATATATTTTTTTTAATTTCAGTTTGTTTTAAACAGACTCGGTTTACAAGGTTTTGGATAAGAATGGGCAATTTTTTTATTACATAATAGCATGGATGCTTTCGACAATTTTGTAATTTTAATAATAATGGGGGCCAAAATGAAAAAATATATATATTGATTTTATTAAATTTTGGAGAATTTTTAAATTATTAATTTTTTTTAATGAATATAATAAACTAATTTTTATGTTTTTTTTTTTTGCTTAAATTTTAGTTAGGTTAATCAGACCCAATTTTTTTATGGCCTTCTGATTTGAATGGTATTTTTTATTTGGATAGCAATATTACATTCTTATAATTCATTTTTTAATATTATAGTTGTGTTAAATTTAATGTCATCTTATTTAAAAATTAGTGATTTATTTTTTAATCAACAAAATGTCATCTAATGTAACAAATATTTATTTTATATTACTTTTAATTGTAAGTGTTGAATCAAAAGGTGTACGGAAAATACACCGAATGATGATGAGAGAGAGAGATATAGCACAGTAGGAGATAAGAGACCGGAAAAGAAAGTGTCATTTATTCATGAGATTGACACTTATTTATAGGCATAGGTCCCAACATTATGAATATACATATTAACTCTTCATTATTAATTTTTTCAGGGGAATTTTTTGGTAATTACAAATTATTCGCATATAATAAGACCGAAGACTGATTTGATTGATGAGAGTTGTCGATTGTCTGATTAGTCTTGACTCGATCGATATCTAATTCGAAAGAGAGTCTTCTGTTGATCTTCTTGAGGACTGTTCCCTCCCTGTGGAACATCTCTTGACACGTTCCGTCGATCATTCGAACAAGACGCTTCTCTTGCCAACTTCCAATTCAAGATGGTTGTCAACGACTATGACTGGTCGTTAGTGTCATCCTTCTTAGTCGTTTATTTGTCTCGAGATTTGTGCTGACATATTTTTAGATATTTATATTTAGTTCTCTGATTTTCTTGCTCTTCGGAAGCTGCACAGTACATGATGACAGGAGAATCTATTTAACTTGTATTAAATAATTAAATGATATAATTTTGTAAAAAAAGATTTCTCTGGATTTTCGTGCCCGGACGTTTATAAATAGTTCATGGGGTAAGGAGAGTTTGAGTCATTTTCTTTTCTTCTTGTTTTTTTAGTATCTCTTCTTTTTCATGGTTGTCGCCATGCCTGGTGAGGGAGGGCTATTAGCCGACAATAGCGTCCTCCTCAAAGCAGCGAGTGACCTGAGGGTGAAGGCTCGCAAACCTGACGCAAGCGAAAACCAGTTGTTGAGGCTTCCGCAATAGATTTGAGCAAGAAGTGAATTGTGCTTGGGCCGCGAGCGAGGGTAAACTAAGATCGAACTGGGTCTTTGGGTTTTTTGGTAGGTTTATCATAGGGGAGAGCTGCAAAGGACGTTGAAAGACATTCTGGCAATTGTCTTCCGAGCACCCATTAGAGGCGGCCACTCCTGCCCAAAGGGGAGGAATGTCCTTTCAAACTATTAAGGAGATCGTGACCCCCCATGGGGCCAGGAAGCTGCTGACTGAAGCTGGGACTCAGCCTCAGTCGGAAAAGGGTGGCTTCTCCTATGTGGATGGAGGACTGGAGGAGACCTATGATTACTTCGCCTCTTACAACACTTTATGAATGGTGTCGATTTTTTGGTATGTAGTTTGAATCATGTTTTTAGTATTCCTCTTATAGTTTTAGGAGCTCTGACAATCGTTTCTACTTCCTCAGACATTGAAGCCGACCCTGAGGGTGATTCGGCCTCTGTGGATCAAGCCGTAGAGATGGGAGCGAATATTGAGGGTTAGGTTGCTTTGCAACAGGGGACCATGGAGTAGGGCACCGTGGAGCCAGACGCTGTGGCCCAGAAGAAAGGGTGGAATCCTCCCTCGGTCGGAGGCAGAAGCATGGGCGCCTGAATTCCTCCTGGTGCAACGGTGGAGGAGGCGACATCTAGGGGGAGTCGAGTGCCTACTTTCTGGGTGCACCGGCTTGCTAAAATGGAAGAGCACTTTCTTTGTCTCATAGTACAACCTCGAATGAATAACGATGATGAAGTTGTTGAGGTCTTGGAGCGAGTTCATCGTGTAGAGAAAGAATTTTATGGACACGTACTTTAATATTCCTTCCTTTTTAATTAGCAAAAATTATATCTATGAGGCGTTTGTAAGTTGCCCTCACATTTTTAACTTTTTAGGTCAACTTTTTAGTAAATACAATGTTATTCATGTATAATAAGACCGAAGACTGATTGGTTTGATGAGAGTTGTCGATTGTCTTACAAGCCTTGACTCGATCGATATCTAATCCAAAAGAGAGCAAGCCTTGACTCGATCAATATCTAATCCAAAAGAGATCCTCCTGTCGATCGTTTTAGAGATTGATCCCGGCCCTGCGTAACATCTTTTGGCACGTTCCGCCGATCGTTCAGACAAGTCGCCTCCCTTGCCAACATCCAGTTCAAGACGGTCATCAACAGCATGTTCAATCATCAGTGTCATTCTCCTGAGCCGTTTATTTACCTTGAGATTCGTGCGGAATATTTTTATATGTACAATGAACATTGTTCAAATTATCTCAATGTAAGAGCTACTATTAAAGCAAACCTCACTTATTTTTAATAAAATTTGTGAACTTTTTTTAACAATGCCTTCCAAAACTTATAATCATGGTTGCGAGTATATTTTAGCATTTTTTTCATTATTAATTAACCTATGTTAGTTATAAAGATATATATATATATAGCGCCTAATTTCCATATATTTGCACTTCTAACACATAAAGTTTCGTTCTTACATGCTTTCTTATATCACATGAAAATATACCTTTTACAAGGGGCATTTACATGCATACCACCCAATTCTTTTGTATTTACATACCTATCACCTAAACTTTATTTTCTTACATTTCTACCATCCAAATCTTTTATCACATGGAAGAATATAATTAGTTTAACTTTTTAATACTAAAATATCCATTTTCATAAATATATATATAGTCGGGTACTAATTTGTCAATTTAAAAATTAGGGTCTCCATACCACCCATAGTACTTGAAACATTTTACCACCCTTAATCTTTCATATAATATTAAAAATATCATCATTTTAATATTTTAAAAAAGAATGAAATACAATTTAAAAATTAAAAATTAGGTGTAGATATGTAAATACACAAGAATTATGTGGTAAATGTGCAAATCTTCCTCTTTTTCTTTAATTTATAATCATTTTTTATTGTCCTCAGGATATTAGCGAACAGACAATCTGCACAAAGATCAAGGGTTAGGAAGCTACAATACATCTCCGAGCTCGAGCGAAGCGTCACAACCTTGCAGGTTTAATAATTAATTAAACCACAGAATTATCTTAATCTATTAATTAATCTTTATTATCACTTAATTAAAATTTAATTTGTGGCGTTAATCATGCAGACTGAAGTATCGGCGCTGTCCCCTCGCGTGGCATTCTTCGATCACCAACGCTCAATCCTGACCGTCGGAAACAGCCAACTAAAGCAGCGCATCGCTGCCCTCGCGCAAGACAAGATTTTTAAGGATGGTAAGTGGACGCTTAATCATAATTAATTAGCTGATTATTTTATAATTAAGCTTCTAATTGTTATTATGTTAATTATATTTAAAGTACATGTCACTCAATTCTTATATACATATCCAACCTACGTATTTGCATCCATACCATTTAAATCATAGAGAAAAAAAATAATTATTAATATTATTAATTTTTAATTTGTAGTTAGTCGGGGGACTAGTTTGTCACTTTACTCAATAAAATTTAGGGCTTAGATATGTAAATACATAAGAATTGTGTGGTATGTATGTAAAACATCAAAATATTAGTTCTTTGAGGTTAATTTTTAGATATTTTTAGCATATTATTAATTATTATCTTAATTATCTTAAGATAATTCCAATAGTTTTGATAACTAATCTAATTATTTTTCTTATAAAAGTGAGTTATAAATAATAAAATATTTATATATAATTTTATGATCTTAAAAACATTACCTTCTTTTATGATTATTGAGCCACGAATCCGTTCACAAATAAACGAAAAATTATTGCATTAGGAGTTCGCACGTAGAGCTTTGTGCGGAGTCCAATGAAATCACACCACGTGAAGGTACAAAAAAAAATTGGCCCAGTAACACACGAGAATATTCCCCCCCCCCCCCCCCCGGTGTTTTTCAAGTGTTATTGTATATTATTCAGGTGTTATTGCGCTCTGAGAATATTCTCGATGTTATAATAACACAATAATAGATCAATAACACACAATAACAATTGAATAACATAAGGAAATATTCTCCCCGTGTTATTGTGTTCTAGAAATATTCTCGGTATTATAATAACACAATAACACATCAATAACACTTTAATAACACACAATAACACTTGAATAACACACAATAACACCTGAATAACACGGGAGAAATTTTCCCTTATGTTACCGGGCATATTTAATTTTTTTTATTCTGTCACCGCCACGTGACATGATTTCATTAGACTCTGCACGTACTCTTGTAATATTTTTTTCCAAATAAACATCATATTTGTAAATTTAGTATTATTAAATTTTATTTTACATAATAACCCTCTTTGTTGTAAAAATATTTGTGGTGAATAACGTTTATAATATATAAAGGGGGATATTTATAAGAAAGTGATGGCTCAAATATATATATA